CACCTTAATAAGATCTTCCTTGCTTTTAGTAAAGTTAAAATGCTAAATGTGGGTTTTCTTCAGGCACATGATGATTCAAATGGTGTCCAAGAAAAGAGTTTACAGTTTTCTTATCAAGTTTATCTTTCCTGATAGTTTTTCACAACAGCATTTAACCTTATCAGTTTTGTTTCTAGATCACTTTTTTACTATTAGGCTCTTGCATTAGGAGCGGCGGTGTAGGGACAATGCAATGGCTCTACAGTAAGCTGAATTGTCTCTACAGGGTGATAGAGGCTTTGCCTCAATGTAACTTTGAGGTTTATAAAAACTAAGGCTTTAAGTAAAATGTTCCTAGCCCTTGTGATTTTATAGAAGAGCTTGAAAACCATGGCTAAAGTTCTTCCCATAAACTCTGAAGCCGGAAAGCAATGAAAAAGAATTCTGCTTTTCTTCTACAAACATTTAAATATCAGGATTTATGAAAACTTGACAGTAGTGTTTCAGAACAGGACAACATTTTGGAGCTATTTTATAAATATTTGCAATCACAGTCTATGTGCTGTCACAGATGTAAATACAACCTTCAAAAAGCAGCATTCTCTCCAGTATTTCATCCTAAACAAAGGGAAACAAAGTATAAACAAGCTAGTGCCTTTCTTTTCTCTCCCTCTAAATAAAAGCACACATTTCCCTTGTTCCACTGTGACAGTGCTGTTAAGGTAAAAACAAACATGCTTCTAAACTCTGCCTAGCTCAAGTATTAATGCTGTGGGTCATTTTCAGGGCCACTTATAGCACTATAAACTGTAAACTGCTCCTATCTCAGGATAAAATAGTTGGGTGTTTTGCATACAAGAAATGAACTCTTCTTGAACCATCGTATAAATCTCAATGGTTGAATACAGTATCCAGCACTGGAGACAGTGTTTTTCATTCCCATGTTTGTTTGGCACACCTGCTTTGTGAAGGTGCAGGAGGCTTGTTTCTTCTTGCATCAGTGTTACTTTTATATATAGGAGTAGGAAAAGATTTCAGTCAGAACAAGGCCAACCAAGCCATTTATTAGAGAAAGTGGGTTAATAGTACAGATATCAGTTAAAATAAGCCTTGTTCAGGGCAGTCATAGTCACCATACTGCCTGTAGCATTCCAAGCGCAGTGTTTTTCAGGGCTGTGCTACTCATCTTTAGTATGTACTAGAGACACAGAGCTCCTTTAACATTGTCAGAGAAGGAACCAGGTTTGACCAGGTCAGGCTTATCTGGAGAAGTTAACAGGTAGGCAGGTGTGCCCAGCTTGCCAGGAGCCCTGTGTGGAATGCTGTGTGCAGGGAGGCTCTTCCTGCCAGGGCCTAAACTGGGCTGGTGCACACCCAGCTCTGGAGAGGTTTTTCCAGGAATGTTGAATGGAAAGAGCCTGGTTGCCTAGGTAACAAGCCAGTCACTTAGCAATGTCCCTTTTAGTTACTGAAATGAGAGAATGGTTGATGCAATTGTTTAGAAGTCCTAGCGGTAACACTTCAAGAGTAGGGATAGAGAAAGGGTCTGTGAAGCGAGGCCAGGAAGCTGTTTCAGGCCGGTGGATCCTCAAGGGGCTGAGGAAGTAAAACTCGGAGCGGTGAGGAAAAGATGCCCTGAGTGCGCTCAGGAATGGTGCCGGGAGTGTCCGAAGTGCCCGGGGAAGCTGCTGAAGTCCCTATGGGGTCCTGTCGTGCCGTCCCTGCCCCGCTGTGCCCGCCGCGCTGAGGCCTGGGCTGCGGCGGGGCCCTGCCGGGAGGGGCAGGGCGGCTCCCTCTGGAAACAGCCAATCAGCGGGGGCCGCCTGTCAGAGGGAACCAATCAGCGGGGGGATCTTAGCGCTGTGGCGGAGGGCGGGAAGGACGGGAGTGGTGCCTGCCCTGAGGGGAGCGCCCCGGGCACCGCCCGGCCTGGCTCGTCCCCGCTCGGGCGGCTGTGGAGCTCCTACTCGGGGACTAACCTGCACCTGAGGCTGCTAGTCCGCACAGGGTACCTGGTACCTGGGCTCTGAGCGGTGAGATCGCAGTGCGGCCTGGAGCGCTTCACGGACATCAGGTAATAATGACAATAAACATGGCAGGAAAGGGCTCTCTGGAGAGGAGCTCTTGTTCCAGACGATTTAAAGCAGTGTAGCTTCAGCAACGATCTTAACATGCAGAGGAGTTCTGTGCTGTCCTGTTGCAAACTCATGGAATGTCCTCGGTTGGTTCAGGCCTACCCCATGTGAGAAATGAGGTGAAGGCTGTGTTTCTCACTGCTGAGGAGAAGTGGGTAGCAGCACTGAGTTTTTAAAAAGCATGCTAAAAAAGGCAAGCTAAAACTCCAAAGGCTAGTAATGGTAGCTAATCTCTTGCACACATTGGGTGATCAGAAATTAATGACATGTAAGAAAATTAAGAAGGCTGAGTGAAGCTAGACGAGGTTAGTGAACTTTTTCTGAACCTCAAGTCTACTAATCTTGTTACTAATGAAAGTTGAAAGCATTTTCAAGATAACTACCAAAGATCTTGGAGACTATATTTTCTGCTCTGTACATAAATGAGGAAGCAACTATAACTCTGTAGTACTTCTAGCAAATACTGTTAGCAAATAATTTCCTTCGTTATACGCTTGTAAAACGTGCTACCTCATAGTGGTTGGTGGTCTGTCACTAGAGGCAAGTGAGGGCAGATTAGGGAGGAAAGTCCTATTGCAGAGTAATATCTTTTTGGAGAGGAACTGAGTCCCACTAGTCATGCACATCTCAAGTACGGAAGTAACACTTCCTTCCCTACCCCCTGCTCTAAATAAGGAATAAAACATTCATGCTGTGAAGAGTTTCATTGAGGTGGCTTGTCCTAATTAGAATTTAATAATTTGTACTTTATTGTAATTTAAGTGGGAGTATATGGACCTGAATGAATAAAGCATGCTCTGTGCAATTTGCAAAGTTACTTTTTTCAAAAGTGGAACTTGAGAATGGGAAGCAGCCATGGATGAATTCTGGTCCTCTGTATAATTTTCAAAGCTGGACAAGGAATACCTTTTTTAGGGTTTTGTCTAGGACAAGCTTGCCTTTAAAATATGCAGGGAGAAAGGAAATCGTTTATTGTGGATATCCATTAGTCTTTTGAAAAGAGTACAGATGATGTGTTTTAAATACATGTGCTTTTTTTCTTACTTAAAAAGACGTCCAGCTAAAAAACAAGGGGCTTTTCAGATATTTCATAATATGGAGCAAAATGGGCTGTTCTGTGACTAGGCTTTTTACCTTCTGTTGTGATATCTGGTCTGCCTTTAGGGCTCCAGCACAGAGTGGAAAGTTGCCTGTTTCACTCCTGTACTCCTGTTGGTGTGATACACACCTTACTGGAAAGATTTAATCTAAAACAGACAAGAAAGGAGGCTGTTCACAACATCAGGCAAAGAATAAGAGGTGTAAAGATATGTAAACATCTAACAGACTTCTTAATTTTAGTTCTTGTATGTTAAATTAAGGTTTGTTATACCCAGAATATATCCCTATCTGGTGGTTGTTTTTATAGGCAGTCTTTCCATGTCGAGACTCCAGTGGTCAAATAGGAAATAGCTCATGATGCTCCTGGGCATTGCAAGTCTGTAATCCACCAATCATACTCCTAGGGTTACATCTCAAAATAATTAGTACGACATACCTTCTTTCTTAAAGTATTAAAAATATATATTTCCTCATAATGAAGAGGCTCTGCAGTGGAACAGAGTACAGGTCTGGAGTAGTCTGTGCTATGCATGAGACCAATCCTATGAAGGACTAGCAGAGTTTGGAGGAAATTACTTGTGTCTGATAAACAGGGAAGACACAAGAGATCTTTTGCAGTGTTACATAGTCAGAGATTGTCTAGAAAAAACCTCTCCTGTCCCAGAGGGTCTCTAACCAGACATACTTCTATACCCTAGCTACGGTTTATTTACTGCCATGAGATAAGCAATCTCTACGCACATTATTCATTATAAAGACAACAAAACTAAGTCTTCCTGCAAGAACATTGTATTTTACAATGCTCAATGTGGTTTTCTTCCAATAGTTTAATTAACATAGCTGTTAATTAGACATAACTCTTAGGGTGTTCAGATTGGACTTAAAATTAAGAATGATACATTTCTTAATACTAATGACTGATATGTATCTATACCAGTTTATGTATTATTACAACTGTGAAAAGTAATTGCATAGAAACACATTACTCCTTAAATGTGGTACAGAAAATACTTAATCTCTACTATTTCTGAGAAATCAGTACAACATAAATTACTGTGAAAGTATTTTTGTAATTAAGCCTCTCAGAGCAGTCTTGTCTGCTGCACTTTGTGTTTGTGTACCTCCTTTTATCACACACCAGTTCATCACTACAGTGGATTAGCACATTACTGCAGGGTAAAAATACAGTGGGTGTGTGTGTTGGAGCAGCCGTTGTGCTGTCAGCTGCCAGCCCTAATATGGTAATTAGTGTTCAGTACTATGTTCCTACTGTGCTGTGGAGGAAGGCAAGAACCACCATAATGGAAGATTGGATCATAATGCAAACAGGCAAAATGATTGCTTAAGAATGCCTGAATAAAATTCAGACTATAATATTGTAATTTAGTGTTGATTTGTGACACCATGTTGATTGTGTTTTGCTTTATGGTTTTTTGTTGGTTTTGAAATTACTTATTGTCATTACTGTTTTCACCTCTAATAGCTGTCAGAAAATGTTAAACTGTCTGATAGAAAACTTCATAATATTTTCCAATTAACATGGTTTTAAAATCCTTGCTGAAACTGCAGTATTGAATTGGCAAAGGTAAAAAAAATAATCTATTTAATGCTGTTAATAAGCACTTAAAATGGACTTAGCTTTTAGTCAGATATATTTTTTGCAATATTCTGTAACACTTTTTGAAATATCCATGCATTTTAACTATTTGTTTTCAAAGAGAAAGTGAGGAAAAACAAAAAAAATTAAACACTGTTTATATGCTAACCCTCTCATTTTTCTTACAGGAAATCCTGGCTGAGTAAAGTTGGAAGCCCAAGTTCTCGCATAGATCGAACAAATTTTTCCAATGAAAAGGAGATTCCCAAGCTTGACTTCACAGGATTTAGCACTAGATACTAACAGAAGAAAACACTGCCAAGCACAAAACAGTGATGTTTCTGCTGCATGATATTTAATGTGCCTCCATAAAATGTCACAAGACCATTTCGATGCTTTCTATACTCGAGATAAAAGTAAATGGTCCCTGTTCCAATGAAGTAAGAGTTCTTAGTTGCAGTGTTAGACATTTTACACCATGAATGGCACTATGTAAAGTGCCAAAATCTTAATTTATTGCATCTTGAAAGCTAGCTGAATGGTTAAAAGTGTCAGTGATTATTTGTGCCCCATGAGACTTGTATATGATCATATGGCATGTAACCTTTGCACTGTGAGTCATATTTTAGATGCAAAATAATAAACTTATGTTCTACTCTAATCTCACCAAAAATAGTCACCTACAGTGCTGGAACATAGAGATCTATTTTAACAGCTCTGTATTACAGATCGTGGTATTTGTGATAATTACTTAAGGTGTAGTGGTAATTTACAATAAATGTATGTTGCCTTAAACTAAGGTTATCTAATGAACTCTGCCATAAAAAAATCTTTCTAATAATGTATATAAGTCCTGGAACAAGATGATGAAATGTGTGGCCTCTCATACCTTTTTCTCTTGGTTATCTACAGCTCAAATCCATACTTACTGTAAAGGATGCTTTGATCTCTTTGGGTTTTAGGTGTTCTTACTGCAGTTGAAGATTTTGGGTTTTTTCCTTACAGATGTGTACTTGTCCCTGAGTTAATAAGTGTTGGAATCCAATTCCACGTGATGCAACACATACGTCATATCAAGTACATGAAAGGTCCTGAGAAGCTTGAGTTACGTGCTTGCAATAAATATTGGATAAGTCTTTGCAGTATTGGATCGAAGTCTCACATAGAGTACTCTTTCTACAGGTGCCCAGGAGTCTGTCAGGGCTGGAACAGACCTATATCCTCACTTCTAGAGGACTTCTGTGTCAGGATTATTACACACGGGAAGACTTTGGTTAGGCACTGATGTATCCAAGCAGACACTGTGTGATCTGGCAGCACTCTCAGTTAAACAAGACAGGCCTGATCATGTTGTAAGTCCCTGTGAGAAGTGGGTGGTACGTGCATAGGAAGGTATTTGCCCTGACTAATAGATGTATTTTTACTGGGCCTTTGTGCATTAAGCAGTAAAATTTCCCTTTTACAATTGCAGGAGTTACTTCAAATTAGTTATAGTTCTACCCTTAACTTTATCCCAGCCAAAACCAGCACAAAACATTACTTGACTTTTGTGATTATACACAAGCATCCTTTGTTGAAGTGACTATCAATAACTCTTGTTTAACTCAAATGGTAAATGGCAAAGTTCACGTGTAGCAGTAGCTCAATAGCTGTTATATCCTCTCTGAAAATCATATCCTGATGAACACAAGTAGTTCATATTTTCCTTGAAGCAACCTGGCAGAAGATACTCCCTTAGTCAAAGGCGTTTCCAGCCAAGTTGTTTTGCTCATATTTTGAGCAACAATGGTAGAGGAAGGCAGAGGACAAATGAGACATTATATATCCAGGAAGAGGAGCCAAAGATTAAATTGTTATTTTGATATTTTGGCATGGGTGGAAGTAGGTTCTCACAAGGAGTCAGTAGTTTTCCCTTGACCCAGCTGGAAATGTAAAGCTTGAGAAGGGAGAAGCAGCCATATGAAATGCTCACTTTATTTGGGTGAAAATGTGCATGTAGAGAACTTGGAGAAAGTGAAAACGTTAAGAAATCTGTATGTAACTGTTACGTTTTGAAAACTAAAAAAATATTTTAAGTCTTGATATGAGCACTACCACAAGGATTTTAGAATGCTTGTCCTAACAGAAGTATTTCAGCAGAAGTTATTTCTAGTGTGGTATTAAGCGAATACAATTCCTGTAATGTGTGGTCCATATACCACAAGATCTCTTGTGAGTCTGTCACAGTGGTGGTTTTCTGTATTGGTGTAATGCTCGGCCCCTGGTTTTGTGCTCATTTTGAGCCTGTCTGTAAGAGTTGATTCTGGAATGCATCTATAACCTTCCTCTTTGATTGTGGGTCACCAATACTGGTGTTTTCTTGTCAACATCCACTTACCTCAACAGAGGCAAAAAATACATCCAAGTTCTTTAGTGAGTTGAGCTTTGAGTGCTCTTGATGGTATTGAAAACCAAAATACATGTACTTAGTTATGTGCCAGAAAGTATTTAAATTTACAAGTAGTGCTAAATGAATTAGCCATAGCATGCTTTTCCTTCGTACAGAAGTTAAGATTTTTGCTGAGCAAATAACTAGTAAAGGTGTGTCTGGGCTTCACAGAAGCTTGGGGCAGGGTTTGCAGAGGAAAAGGATATAAAAACCCTATTCTATACCTTCAGAGTTTTGACAAATCTTCTAGGCTGTTCTACTTCTGGAGGGTACTCCTGTGGAGTTTTCTGAGCTGAATGGACTTCCAAGGGGCAAAGGGATGTCTTCTCTTAACTTCATTCTAGTCAAAGGTGAAGGCCCAAGATGGTCATATGGGTTATAATATATAACACGGGGGCAAGAAAAATAGTGTATGTCCATGGGAGTTGATGATTACTGAGGCCAAAGCCCATCTGTAATCAAGCTGAGGAATTAATACTTGACTCGGTGAGTGCTGCTGGCATCCTGATGCACAGCCCTGGGGAAGTGCCTTTACAGACATCTTAGGCTCTTTTTCTATTTCATTTAAATCTGACTTCAATACATCATAGCAGTTTGTAACTGTTGTTGTGTAGCCATGTGGTGTTCATGCAGATGCCTGCAGTGCAGTTAGGATCCCTGCGTTTACTGAGGCATATAGCCAACCTGAGAAACAGCTTGTTTTATGTACAGGGAATGCTTGGTTTGCACGGAGTGGCATCTGCCTTACTAGTGGGTAAATAGAAGCTTGTAGGACTCCTGCACAGGTCATCATAAGCAATAAGCAAACACTCCTGCATCTCCCTGGGTGTATGCTGCACACAAAATGGTGGATTGTGCTGATGGTAGGATAGAGAATACACTGAAGGTTGTCATTAGCTTCCATGAGATGATGCTGGCAAAACCACGTTGAGCAGTAGTAATTTAGAAGACACCATTTCATTGTTGTTCTCATGACAAGGATATTAAATGTGAACAGATGTCAGGTTTTTTTTAACTTGGGTACCTTTTTCCAAGACAGATACTCAAAGAATGTTCAAAGTAGCTCTTAGAAAGCTCTTTTGGGTTGAGGCAGGATGCAGTGCTGCAGTCAGAGTGGACCAAGGTTTAATGGCAAGCCTCTAGCATGGCAGAGGTAATGCTGACTTGCATCTGCCAGATTTTTGGGTAGGCTGGTGAAGCTGGGCTGTGTGCTAGTGAGTTCAGTTCTTCTGAAACTGGATGAAGAGCTGGTCAGAGGGATTGCATGAGTCTGCGCAAGACACCTTTATGGCTGGGGACATCTGAGCCCTCTGCAGAATTTGGTTGCTCAGAAGCGGTTTTCCATGCTGCAAGTCACATGTTGCTGTGCTACTGCAACTAACAATAGACTGTCTTGCAGTGCATGCATTAATCTTCTCCTTTTATTTAATCCTCAGATTCTCTTAAAGTATCATGAATCCAAAATGATCTAACTTGTGGAAGTACAGCGTGTGCAAAACATCAGAGCAGTATCTCTAGATTTAATGAAAGCATCATTGGTTGTGAAGAGCCAAAGAATTCCCATGGTAAGATAGCAAAAAAAGACAAGAACAGTTGGCTAATTAGATATCAAAACTAGGTTGACACCCTTTTCTACTTCATACTAATGTCAGTCAGTTACAACTGCAGATACCCTTTCATTTTACTTTGAAAAAGGCAACACAGAAAGAATGAATGTTAGGTAGGCCAACTCTATTCTTGCTGTAAGTGGAAACAGTTTTCACCTATCTAAAAAGTGTCAAGACTTGTGACAGTCTGTTCCTACTATGACCAAGTAATTTGACAATTCTAAACGGTGCTGATTGGCTTTAAGGAGAATATTGTACCTGAATGTATTTAACTGTAATTTAAGAAAGTACATATTAAACATTAAGACCAGACATGTTAATTAAAATTGGAGCTTAACTCCTAAATGGCCATGCAGTTTAAAGAAATTATGAGTTTGTTTATATATGATTAAACAAGAAAAGAATTAAATCTGCCCTAAGTGGTGAACAGAATGAGTGTTCTGTCTCACCAGTGATGATGTAATCCTGTATTTAGTATCAAGACTTACAATGTTGTAGTGCAGAATATAAATGTTCTGCTATACCTACCTGTTCTTGAGCCTTCATATAGAGAAAAGCATGACAGTATCTCCTGCCATACTCTGTCTTCTGTGACACCGATCTGTCACTTGTTATTTTCTTGATATCCTCTGGAGCTTCCTTTCTTGGCGTGCTTTCTTACAAAACAGTATGTGTGTTTGCTGCTGGAGTCATCATACTAGACAGGATGAACTGGATTAGTCAAGAGAGCTTACTGATTAATGCATAGCTCTGTTCAGCTGCTCCCTCCTGAAAGTATTCCAATTCGATGAGAATGCTATACTGAAAGATCATGCAGGCAAAAATTGCTCTGTGCTGTATTTATTTTTTTAAGTCTATTTGTACAATGGCAATACTGTAAATTAGAGTTGCTATAGTATTGTTCATTCTTGAAGGCTCCCCACAGTATCTTATGTAGTGGTTATTAAGTAGTAGTATTAAAGAGTCAGAAGTCATTTCTGCATCAAAACCAAAACACTAAGTAACTATGCTTTGTTAGTAATAATAATGACATAAGATTAAAACACTGATCTGAAAGATCTAAGGAAGAGCAACCTCACTTTTGCTTAAAAGGGCTGCAGAAATGGATTGGGAGGTCTTACTAGTCAAAACTCAAGAATAGTTTAAGTAATCATGAGGATACTAGTTGTCTTTTGTGATATAGGTGATCTTAGTATAATAATTAAAATACATAACTGCAAATAAATATATAGGAATCTTTCCTGATCATTGACTTCATAGATCAGTTGTGAAATGTAATAGTCTTTAAATCAGAAGACAACAACATGAAGAATTAGACTCTAAATGGCATTAATGGAGGAGTATGAGAAGCTTGGCCTGTTGTTGTTGGGGTAAAGACCTGCTCTTTGAAAAGGCACTGTGGGCTGTTCTGTAGCTGTGCTAATAGCTGCTTGGTGTTAACTCTTGTCTCTGATTGTGCTGTTCTAGAAATAGGAAACTCTTGTAACATTTCTTCTGGCATTTGAAGTGTTCCTGCATGTGGACAGTATGCTTTAAGTCACATTTTTGATGGACAGATATATGATCAGTGTCAAGAAGTAAAGATTGTCCATCATAACCATGCACTGGTGTCTAGTCCATTAAAAAGGGATAGAGCCCTTGAGGCTTTTAGGAAGGGGTTCCATTCTGGCTCCGATATGCATGGCAGGCCAAAACTGGGCTGGATGAGTGGTGTACCCGGAAGGCCTAATTTCTCCATGAACTGAGAGGTGACGTGTTGTTCCCTCATATTTGGCAGGGAGATAGCAGAAAAAACAATAGGAAGAGTTGGGTTTGTCTTGGGGCACTAAGTTGTGTTCCGTTGGAACGCTGCCCTGGAGTGCAGTGAGCACAGCGGAGGGCCCTGCAGCCCAGGAACACCACCAAGCAAGGAAATGCAGTATGAATGGGACTGTGTTTGACCACTGGTAGATAACTTCAAGACAGTAACTCAATGTTTTTGGTGCTGACTTCGTTTTTTCCTACTTAAAGAAGTATCACTATGGCTTCAGTAATATTCTAAAAGCCTGAACTTTCCTGCATGAAGTTCACCACTTGAAAACATACCAGATACTGTGGGATCCCAAGCAAACAAGT